ATATATAAAAGAGCTCCACAAGGTAGACATGAGTGTGTGTTGCACAGCAGGCTGGCAGGGAGTGTTCTCAAGGGGGCAGTGAGTGCTTCCTCTAAGAATGGGGGAAGGGAAGGGGCTGAGACAGGATGTTCTGGAAAGCTGGGTGGTTTCTGAAAGGGCCTGGAGGGTTATTGTCCTGCTAAACTTTTAAACAGCAATAATCTTAACAGAAACAGATTTCTCCTGGGTGCTGCTGGCTGAGTTCAAACTGTCAATCTTTGTTATTATTGTTGTTAGGTGCTGTTGAGTTGACTATAGCTCACAGCAACCCCATGAAGCCTGTCCTATCTTGTGCCATCATTATCCTCTCTGATGTAGAGCCCTTTGCCACAGTCACTGTGTCAGTCCATCTCTTTGAAGGTTTTAGAAAACAAACACCACCAACAAAAAGAGACTGGAGGGTCACCACAGGTTTTAATTGACCTGGTGGCGGTGGGTTCTGTTGTTCCTAGGATCATGATAAGTAGGATCTTGCTTGATGGCACCTAACAGCAGCAGTAATGGTAACACTGCTGCATCCAGTGGTTCTTAGGCTCACAAGAGCCAAAACAAAGGAAAAACTCTCAGTTTCAAGTTTTCCTCCCCAGAATCTAAAACCTAGTGAAAATGAAAAGCAGGAAGTCAAAGCAGCTTGATTGCTTTGGTGGCCCTAATAAAGGAGGCTGCAGAAAGAGGAAGTGGGGGTCAGATATCTCCATACAGGACCAATTCTGCATATATCCCTTTCAATCAATTTCCACAGCCAAAGACTGCAGCAGTCTTCTTCCTGGAACACAGTGTGATTTGATTTGCCGCTGGTTCGAAGAGTTCTGGCCCAGGATGGTCCTGATCCAGGGGTGTTTTGACCTTGGAGTATTGAGTATGGAAGAAATGAAAGACAAATGGGAACTGTGTGGGGTGAGGAGAGTGTATTGGTGTTCCTGGGGTGTAGGGTGACTGGGCTGAGCGCAGTTGGGATGGTTTGTATCCTTGTTTCTAGTCTTCCTCTTCCAGTGTTTCTGCTGTGAAATGCACACTCAGTTGGGCAGGGGGAGGGAGATGAAAGATATGTGGGGTGAGGTATATTACCTTTCTGCACCAGAGGGCCAAATGTGGCTCCTGGCTCCTCACCCCTTTCAGATGTCTGGCACCAACCTCTGGATGGAAAAAAAGTCAAGTGTCACACTTTGTAGAGGAGTCCATCTGTCTTTCAGAATAGTGCTCTTTTCTCTAACTTGATTGTTATAGAAGCAAGAAAATCCCTAGAGAACAGGCTGGTTCCTTCACTGAATGGGGCTGGGCAAGGCGGAGGGGTCTCAGTGTCCTGAAGAGGGTCACCCAATCAGCCTGGCTGATTGATTCAGTGAGTACACTATGAACTTTCTGTTCAGATCTCCTCCAAAGCTGCTCTGCTTTTCCTCCTCTGTGACCTTGAGTAGCTGTTTCACCTCTCTGAGTCTCAGCTTCCTTCTCTATATTTGGGTCAGCAAAGCCCAACTCATGGGGTGCGTTGTGGATTAAATGACACAATCTTTAAGTAGTGTCAACAGTCTGTCTACACTTGTTTGTTACCAGAAAAAAAAAAAGCAACAGTTCTGCCACCTACTACCAAAGCAACCATCTTAGAGACATGTTGGAGCAAAAAAGCAAAAATGTTACTATATATGTCAGCATATCAGAGAGAAAGAGGGGGCATGAGCTTTCCAAATCTGTCTCCAAAGGTAAGATTCCAAGAGGGTATGGACAAGAGTTCATGTGTATTTGACACTTCTAGGAGGGAGAGGAAGGGGTATTTGTTAAAAAAGAAGTTGTTATGTGCTGTCAAAACAACTCTATGAACAAAAGATTGAAACCTTGCCCTCCCCTGCCCCTTCTTCATGAAGATGATCAGGGATGCCGGGCTTGAACTCACCGTCGCTGTATCTGTCTTTCCATATTGTTGAAGGTCTTCTTCTCTTTCTCTAGCTCTCCTAGTGTGATGTCTTTTTCCTGGGACTAACCCTTTCTGATAACATGCCCCAAATAATGTGAGACAAAGTTTTCACCATCCTAGTCTCTAATGAGCACCATGGTTGTACTTCTACCAAAATAGACTTGTTTGGTCTTTTGGCAGTCCCTAGATATTTAGTCTTCTACTCCAATAACACTGTTCAATGGCATGGATTCCTCTTCTGTCATCTTTTATTATCCAACTCTCAGAGTATAGGAAGCAATTGAAAATATCATGGCATGGGGCAGTACACCTTAGTCTTCAAACTGACAACATTGCTCTGTAGGACTTTGGAGAGATTCTTGACAGTTGACTTTCTTTTTTTTTTAATTTTTATTTTATATTGGTTTACTTACGAAGTTTGTATACATTGTGTTTCACGCTATCCTTCATCCACATTGGGTTTCATACAGTCATTCCCATTCATTATGTTTTATAAAATTAATCGACATTGAACTATGCTCGCCATTGCCCTGTCTTTCCAGATCCTGGCTGGATCTTTCCCATGTTCTTTACCTACCACTCCCTCCACTCATCAAATTGTGAAACAAAATTATTTCCCCTCCTGCCCATCCTCACCCTTTTGCTCCTGCCCTTCCCCCCTTAAATCCACATACACTTTTTACTACTTATCTTTCTGTTTCTACAGTAATGGTCTTATACAGTATTTGACCTTATGAGACTAAGTTAGTTCACTCAGCATAATGCTTTCTAATTCCTTCCAAATTATGTAGTGGTGTTGTTGTTGTTGTTAGGTGCTGTCAAGTCATAGACAACTCATAGTGACCCTATGAACAAAAAGCCTGAGCACTGTTCATAGAGTTTTCAGAGGCAAGCCATTTTGGAAGTGGATGCCACTCCTACTTCCAGGCTTGTTTTAATTGGGAAGCTCCAGCAAACACTGTCTGCCATGAGTAACAATTATCACATTTGGCACATCAGTGTCTCAGTGTTCAGCATCAGAGCAACCACGAGCTGCCTCTGTACAGCAATGTACAGACCAATGCTATACCACCATTACTTGTGCATGAGGACCACCATGCCATGCTCTGGCAGCAAGAAGCCATATTTTCAAAAATCGTTGCTCCTAAGTGTTGCATAGTATTCCATAGTGTGTATGTACCACAGTTTCTCAAGCCATTAAATTATGGGTCAACATTTGGACTGTTTCTGTGTTCGTGCTATGGTGAATAGTGCTGCCATGAACATTGATGTACAAATCTCTGTTTGTGTCTCAGTTCTAATTTTCTAGGTGTATATTCCTAGTAGTGGAATAATTGGGTCATATGGAATATCTATGTTGAGTTTTTTGAGAAACATCAAACTGCCTTCCTGAGTGGTTGCACCATTTTACAACAGTGTTTGGGAGTTCCTATCTCTCCATATCCTCTCCAACATTTATTGCCTATTCTCCTGTTAAACTTTGCCACTGCCCCTGGGGTGAGATGGTATCTCTGGTTTTGATTTGCATCTCTCTTATTGCCAGTGATTTAGAGCATTTCTTCTGTTGGCCACCTGAATGTCTTTCTCTGTGAAAAGTCTTTCCATGTCTTTTGCCTGTTTTGTAATTGGGTTACTGGTCTTTTTTGTCTGGAGGCCTGTTGTTATTGTTGTTGTTTTTCGGTGCTGTCTAATAGAGTAGACTCACAGCGACCCTATGAACAAAAGATCTGAACTCTGTTCAATCCTGCACCATCTTCACACTTCCTGACACACAAGAGCCCATTGCAGCAGTCACCTTGTCAGTCCT